AACGGAAGGTACAAACAACACACACGCTAGCATTAAGACAACAAACTAGCATGCTTATCAACGGGGAAACTCAAGATAGTTCCGAGGAACACACAAGACACCTCTTGGTCCAACGAAACACAATGTTGAACACTTAGCACGATTCAAGACACCAAAGTCCTACATGGATACCTACCATATAGTTCTAGACCTACGAAACATCAAGAAGACGCTCAAATAGTTCCACAAAAGAACATCGGAAAGTCAAAAGATCAAACACCAAGACAACCAAATCACGGGGAACAAATCCCAACATCACCACAACCATGTACCCGCGGGTGGACCCACGGGTAGTGCCCCACCCGTGGTCCCGCCCGCGGGAACAATATCCCACGAGGCTGTGTACCCGCGGGTAGGCCGGCGGGTGGTGCCCCGCCCGCGGGAACATACCTGTTCCACAACAAATCCCTTCGGGGATTTTCTTCTCCAAACACAAATTCAAGTCCAAAACATGCCAAATCTCACCAAACACAACAAAATGACTTGAACCAAGGAAAATTCCAAGCAATGGCACCAAGGAGCCCTAAACACAAGCTCTAGATATGCAATATCACAAGATAAATGCATAAACCCTCACATTTCATAGCAAAACACAAGTAGAATCCAAGAAATCACATATAGGTAAGCAAAATAGGTTTTGTAGAGCATGGGTTACTTCTTGAAGACCAAAAGACTTCTCTAACACCACAACAAGCTCTCCGCAAGGCTTACTTCTCAAACCCACTTCAAGATCAAACCAAAAGATCATAAAGATCTCACTTTTAATAAAAAGACAACTAAGATGGAACCAAAAAGACTAGACAAGCTTAGATCTTACCCTTCTAGATGCCCAAATAGGTGAAAGGTTGAATCTTGGAAGAAAAACTTGGAATCTTGACAAGGGTCTCAACTTGGCTTGGAGAACAAGCTACTCTTCTTTTCTAGAGAGAAGGTAGAGATATTTTTCTAGGAATTGTAAGGAATGAAATGAAGAAGTCTTCTAGGTTAGGATACAATACTAACTCTTGGTGAAAAGACAAGGCTACCCTTACTAACCCTTAGAAAGTGTAAGGAACAAGGGAACTCCTCTCTAAGCACAAGGTACAACACAACTTAAAGATTGACTAGTCAAATACTAGTCCTTGAGCATTAAAAATCAGGATTTTAGGAATCAATTCCTCAAAAGAAATAGAATTAATTACTCAATTAATTCATGGATTAGAGTGTGGATTTTTGGGGTGTCACAGGTGTCCTCAATAAGGAGGCTGACTGGTCGACCGGGGGCCTCACTGCGTGCTCGTTTCGAAACCGAGCAAATTCTACCTGGAGGTTATAGAGCAGTCCTCGGGTCTCGTTAAGCTCGGTCATCTGGGCCTGGGTCGTCTCCCGGGCGCGTCGTCGACGATGCAATCTCGACCCCACTGTGCCCGGATGAAACCTTCTGACTGGCCTCTTGCATCGGCACATCGACTGAGCGCCGGCTTGGGTCCTGCGGTCCCAATCGTTGCCGCATTGCTGGTCGGAGGCGATCAAATGCTACTGCCCGGTTGACTTCCTCGGGGTCTTCCGCTTGGGCTTGAGCCCCCGGTTGTGCTTGTTGAGCCTGCCGTGGTACCTCCATGGCCTCGGCACCCTGCGACCCCAACCGCGAACGAGCCGAGCGTCGAGCCCGGGAAGTGGGCTGATGCTCCGGCTCTACTTGAGCAGTCGGGTAAATCGGAGGGGCGGCGGCTGGAGTCGTGTATGCAGGCGTGTAGAGTGGATAACCGGCCGGTGGTGTATAGAACATCGGTTGACCGGGCCAATATCCGTATGGCTGAGGCGGGACCGGGTAAGGATATTGCCCAGGGTATTGGAGCTGCTGACCGGGTGTTGGATATCCCGGTTGGATATAATTGACCGGCTGTTGGGCGGCCGGGTACTGAGCTGCTTGATGGGGCGGTGAGAGGTTGAGATTGAGGTCAACTGTCTGACCTTGATACTGGGTCGGTTGATGATCGGATGAACTTGCCGCATCCGCTTGATCGTCGCCGAAGAGGTTATATGCAAATGGATACATGATGAAAGAAAGGACGGTTGCTCGTCAAACGTTAGCTTACTTGCACGGGTCCCCACAAACGACGCCAAAATGATAGTGTTAATTCCCACGTAAGCGGTAAATAAAATAACACGAGACCAATTAAAGCAAGTAAAACTCTTTTATTGATCAAGGTGAAGGTCCTAAGTACAATCTACACTGGCTACTCTGAGGGTCGACTGATTGCGGTCGGGATGCTCTAGCAATAGCCTTTCGATCGTCCAAAAGTCCCTCACATTGTTGCAACTGCGGGTATTTATAGCCGCTGGGCCGGAGACACAAGTCCGGCCGTTCGGCATGTCTCCCACGTAGCAACCACGTGTCCTCTTCCCGGGAGCCCTTGCCTGTCAGTGCATAATGCCGCCACGTGTCATCCACATAGACCACTAATAGGATAATATCTGCTTTAGAGCGTTTATAAAAATAAAATAAAATAAAATAAAATAAAATAAAATAAAATAAAATAAAAACAGAATGATCAGAATTCCCCTTCAACATGCCAAACCTCTCAATCGCTTGACTGAATTTCCCAAACCAGGCACGAGGCTTTGCTTAAGGCCATACAAAGATTTGCGAAGTCGACAAACCTTACCATACTCCCCCTAAGCAACAAACCCAAATGGTTGCTCCATGCAGACTTCTTCTTGAAGATCACATGTAGAAAAGCATTTTAATGTCTAGTTGATGTAAGGGCCAATCAAACACAGCAGCCATAGAAATAAGCAATCTGACAAAGGTTAATTTCGCAACAGGAGAAAACATGTCAGAGTAATCAATACCATAAGTTTGTGCATATCCTTTAGTAACTAGACGAGCCTTCAATCGAGCTACTAACCCATCAGGGTTAAGCTTCACCGCAAACACTCATTTGCACCTAATGGCCTTCTTCCTTACAAGTAAATCCACCAAGTTCCACGTACCATTGAAATCTAAAGCATTCATTTCCTCAATCATAGCATTACGCCAACCAAAGTGAGATAAGGCCTGTCAAGTGGAGAACTCCATATGTTTTCATATATCTCAGACTAAGGAATATACATATTTATACAAGAAACTATATACTAAGTAATGTAAGGATCAGAACCTAATCCCTAAGAATATACACATTAATCCCTAATATCATACTAAATATATTCCTACTATTTATAATGTCTAACAAACTTTTTTTTTTTAAGTTTATGCAATGTGCACCGCATAAGGTATATGGGAACAAACCTGAAAAAAATTATTGAATCAATTTTAATATAATTAAAATTGCCTTCCCAATTACTATATAGCCCTAATTCCAATCATTAGTTATGAAATCATACTAGAACAAAATCGAAAACAAAAAATCCTAGTCGTGTATGTGTTCAAAGTGAGCTAAAATTTTAAAATCAAAGCTTGGAAACAAGTTTCATTGTAGTGGAAGTCTTTTAGCTTGCCTAAAAGAGCTGTAGCTAAGTTTTGCATTTTGATTGTGTTTGTATGTGTATGTGGTTAGTTTGTAGTTAAAATAACAAACAATGAAAGTATAGACACAATAAACTTTTATAGTGGTTTGGAATAATTTTCCTACTCCACTCTTCTCATTAACTTCAAGGAGGTACGTTCTACTAAGTATTTTGGGACAAAAATACAAAGTGATTGAAGCCTCAGCTTCTTCTGGTTGATAAAATCCTTAAGATAGGGGAAAGCCACCGCGTCGCCCTATCCATCACTACCTGATTAGAGCTAGCCAAGGGTCATTCACTAAGTCGCGTTGTTAGGTTGATCGAACTTCTTCCACGCCGCCCTATCCGTCACTACCTGTAAGTTGTTTGAGTGCTGAAATTAGAAATAAGTCAGATTTCTTTTCAGCTTAGAGGTCTGAATGTATCTTGAATGCTTCAACACTTGAATACTTTTCGTTTACCTGAAATTTTCTTTCTCCAGCATAGTACTAACATCTCTTCTAAGCTTGGGTTCCTCCTTTTATAAATGAGGGGTGAGTGCCAACTTGAAATTTGAATATGCCCGTTGTAACTCAGCAAGTGGTAGCTGTCCAAAAGGTGTCACAATCCCCTAAAATCCGTTGTCATATCCTTTACTTGTGTAAGTTATTATCCATAGGGTAATACCTGTTACCTTATTTATTCATATAAGCATTCCAAGCTAAAAAAGATGTGCTCATACTTATCACCATCTTGTCTTATGTTTAGATTTATAGGTGTCAGACAAGTTATATTTATTCAACGACTCTTTTTGTTATTCCTTGAATGAATTCCTTCCGAGGAAGGTCTTCCTTAAAAGTTCTTCAATGAGACTCCTATGAACTTGAAGGATAGCATTGATTTATTGCCATTTTATCTTCCATGAAGAGCACGCTTGAATTATTTTCCTTATGATCCCCTTGGCTTCCTTCCTATTTGACTTCTTCTGGTTACTTCCTTCGGAAGCCATTCCTTCTGATTGCTTTCTTACGAAACCCTTTCTTTCAGTTGCTCCCTTCCGAGACTCCTTACTTCCAGTCAGCTAGATTGCGAAGCTTATCTAAAATTACAATGACTTATGAGTGGTCTAAAGTGTATATACATATATTTCTACCTCATCAAAATATATTACAGATATTTTTAAGAGTATGTTTTCCTCCAATTGTCCAAGATTCAAAATTACATTCAAATTATGTGTGTACAGTTAACATATTATATACCCTGGTTCAAAAAGACATTCAAATTATATATCTGCAGTTAACTTATTATATACCTAACATATTATGTATATGCATGTAATATATTATGTGTTTGTAGTTAATAAATTATGTATATATAAATACATAATCTATTTACGACACATAATATGTTAACCACAAGCACATAATTTGAATGTTATTTTAAATCGGAGTCCACAATGCAAAGTGTAACCTAGTTCATGGTATAATTTGCCATTTTCCTCAATATTTTATTTCATTTGATCACTCAATTGGTTCTCATAAATAATTAACTAAACCTTCTTTTTCCCTAATTTCAACATGCCGAATACAATTACCATTGCAAGTAACTAGATTTTGCAGTCGTCAAAACCCTGAAGAAAAAAATTCAGTTGGGGGTTTTTGATACAAAATTGACAGAAAAGCCAAACCAAGCCAAGCAGCAAAATCATCCACGGATTCCAACCAATTCAACGTCATAGATCAACCATGAGTTTGGTGGTACATCCTCCCCGAGTCCTTCACTGCCAAATCTGCAATATGAACAATAAGAAATAAGAATGAAACATTATGTAAGGGATTTTCGCCCCAAATACTTCGAGGACGACGGTAATGGAAAGATGCGCATACCCCATTGCCGGAGGGATGGTAAGTCTCCTTTTGTCACCAACACGCATACCTACATTGTAAACACAAGGTAATAATATCAACATTTGCGTGTGTATTAGATAACACAAAACTATCAACTAAATCCAAGTTTTATAGGTATTTACCTTCAAGTCCAATGTTCCATCCTTCGAGAACTTGTTCGTCACCTTCAAAATATTAGAATGGAGAGGAATAAGCTAACAAAATAATTTACGACTCGAGTCTTATTAACTTTTGAACAGTGCAAGTACCTAGGCAAAATTTGTAAGGAGTGTCACCAACATTGGAGCTAAAAACATATCCATTCTCCTTTAGCTTGCCAGTATAGTAAACTTTCACCTGTACAAGTTTGGTTCATCAAAAAACTCATGCTCATTCACAAATTCTCCAATATGCTCATTCAAAGCTGGTCAGTAACCAGTTAAGTATGTTGCAACATTTTGAAGTTAGATCCCATAAAAAGTTACCTTTCTTCCTGGAGTAGCAACTTTTCCATCTTCTTTACCCTTTGCTAGGTCTTCAATAATCAATCCATTTGACAAGGTCCTCACTTGAGAGGACTCTGGATTCAGATCCATGTCCTGAGATTTGGCAGATATTTCATTTGCGGTGGTCCTATCAGACTCAAGCATACTGTTAGTTTCAGCATCCTTAACTTTGGTCTTCTTTTTCTTCTTTTTCTTATGTTTCTTCTCAAGTTGGCATCCATCAGCTTCATCAGAATTTACATCAATACTTCTGCATCCAAAAAATTTATATTCTATTGTAAGATTGTGTTTTACCTTGGGTATATCACTATATCCTATTATAAGACAATTTACAGATCAAGCTATAGACTGCCCAACAAGGTCACAAACAGTCAAATCTATAAAATCATTAACCAACTTATTGCAGGTAACATTATCATCTAAGAAATGCATGCTTTAGAGATTGCTACTATATATTAGCAAGAACAAGAAACCAAGTATGAGAAATACTGACCTGGTGCTAGTTAGCACTTCATTATCTTCAGTCATTGCCGGTAAATCCTTGTCAATATCAGTAGCCTCATCAACCTGCTTGGCCTCTTCAAGAGAATCACTGGTACTAGAGTCTTTGCATTCATTCAGCCTCACTCCCTCACTCCCTTTTTTCCTTTTCTTCAATTTTGGACCACATTCAGCTTGCTCTTCAGCATGGGTTTCTAAAGAATCTGAACTATCAACAACATTCCTGCCAGAGTATATTGTAAGATTTGTTATTTCAGGTAAGTATATTCTATTGCAAAATAACTTGCAGATCAAGCTAGATTGACCCACAAGGAAATAGATAGTCAAATCTATATAATTATTAACCAACTAATTTGCGTGTAACATTACAATCTAAGAGATGCATGCTTTAGATATTGCAACAATATAGTAACAAAAACAAGAAACCAAGTATATGAAGAACTGACTGGATGCTAGATAGCACTTTGTTATCTTCAGTTGTTGCCAGTACATCGGTGTCCATATCAGTAGCCACAACTGGCTTGACCTCTTCAACAGCATCACCAGGACAGGAATCTTTGCATTCATTCAGCTTCACTCCATCACTCCCTTTTTTCCTTTTCTTCGATTTTGCGCCATTTTCATCTTTAACTTCAGGAGCGGGTTCTAAAGAATCAGAATCATCAACAATATTCCTGGCAGAGTATATTGAAAGATATTTTATTTCCTTTGGGCATAGTCTATTGTAAGATAATTTACAGATTGAGCTAGATTGACCCACAAGACCATAAGTAGCCAAATCCATATAATAAATAATCAAATTATTGCAGGTAACAATATCAATTAAGAGATGCACACTTTAGAGAATGCAAAAATATAGTAACGAAAACAAGAAGCCAAGCATAGGAAAAACTAACTGGGTGCTAGTTAACACATTGGTATTTTCAGTTGTTGCCAGTAAATCCTCATCCATATCAGTAGCCTCAGCAACTTGCTTGACCTCTTCAACAGCACCACCAGGACTGGAACCTTTGCATTCATGCAGTCCCATTCTGTCACTTCCATTTTTTGTTAATTTTGGACTATTTTCAACCTGCTCTTCAGTAGGGGGTTCTAAAGAATCAGAATGATCAACAGTATTCCTGGCAGAGTATATAATATAGCAATAATTATTGTCTTTAGTCAGTTTCCAGGTAATCATAAACACAAATAAACCATAAATGCATCTTTAAAAATCAAGAGATGCATAAATGTGGAAAAGAATAAGTTAATATTCCAAATGAAACTAAATCGTACAGGTCAATTGCAACTTTCTGAACGTGCTCAGTTCCAACATGAACTTGGTGCTCCTTGTCAAACTCAGTGAGTTGCTCCGCATTAAGACTTGTGAACATGTCCCCCTGGTCACTGACAGCAACCTCAGGAGACTTTGCATCTTCACACTTGCTAGGCATTGCGATCTTTCCAGTCACAGAATCACTAGAAGGCAGCAAAGAAACAGATTGAAGTTAAAATCTTTCTTAACTACACCAAGTCAATAGACTGAAAGACCAATTAGCAGAAACAGGAATAAAACCATGCAGAGATAAAAACAAATGAATAAAATAAGTACAATAAGTAATACTCACTGTTCTGGTGCTAAAATGAGTTTGTCTATGCCACTTAATTGATCCTTGCTAATGTTACTCATACTTGTCATATCCACAGCATCAACATTTTCCTCTCTACCATCTTCACCACTTCCACCATTTTCTGCCTGACCAGTAGCCTCATCATCTGTTACCTTACCCCTCTTTTCTCTGCATTTTGAAGATCTTGCCTTTGCATGTGTTTTATTTTTAAATGCAGACAAGAGACAACTTTCTTCTCCTTTGTTTTCATGTGCATTGTTATCATCTTCAGACTCAAATACATAGTATTTCTTTGTAGGTATTTTACTGATAGATGCAGACAAGTAACAATCGTCTTCATCTTCACTTTCTTGTGAACTGTTGTCTTCTTCAGATTCAATTACTAATTTGTGTTTCTTCTTAAGTCTTTTGCGGTTGCCTTTTCTGTTTTCTGGATGTTTGCCTTCTGGGAAAAAAGAACAAAAAACAAAAAGGAGCAAAATATTAGGACCATTCACACTCTACTAGAAATTCTGCAACCATCAGACTCAATTTAAATCTAAGATGATAATAAATATAAATTGGCACTCACCCTTTTCTTATACACACAAAAGCATTCCATACACATACAAATTGTGGAAGAGATGATACATTAAGACAGTTAAAACAAATACAATCAATCATATATGAGCATCCTAATAGATACAAAAGTCACACCCTTCTAGAAGGAAACAATAATGCTACTTGAGACAGCTAATCCTCCATATATGCAAACTTAGAAAAAAGCAATCATCACAAGATGGGTTATATTTTACCTCCATCTCCATCACCATCACCATCACCATCACCATCACCATCACCATCACCATCACTTGGAGCAGGCGAAGATGGGAAAGCCACTGGATCATCATCGTCGTTGATAAAGCTATCATCATAATCATCTTCATCACTGCACTGATTGGATACTTCATTGTCTGTGTTGGCAATATCCTCCCCATATGATTCTGTATCGCTGTTTTCATTTCTATGCAAACTCTTACCAACATAGTAACCGGTTAGATGGACACTTCTTGGTCCAAGAACAGAAAATATCACATCATCAGCCTCCTCAAATTCCAATTCCAAATGGCAAGACTCCGTCTTGTCAGGCAACAAAGCACACAGAAGCACAGGAGTCTTATTCCCCACATTGCACTGAACCAAGCTCCTCGTTACCCCATCACCAATGCCCAATGTTGCCTAAAAGAGTTCCACAAGACAAAGGTAAGATGATAGTGTTTAACATCAAAACATGATAATTAATTAATTAATTATGCTCATAATAACAAATTTAAAACACTTTAATCTTGACTGATGTTAAAATGGAACACAACGATCACCTGAGAAATTCGAAGCCTTCCTCTCGTCGGATCAAAGTAATGAGTCACTGGTCTTCCAGGTTTTACTTCAATCCCTAAAATTCAGAAAACAGAAGAAAAGTAAACAAATTGCATACAAAAATCGACCATTCCTTCCATGAAGAAGGAAAGATGCAGAGAAATGAATGTAAAACTAACCCCAGAAAGACATTTTCGAAGGATTCTTTCAGGTGGTATGCCAATTTAAACCATTGGCATACATGGAGCCACGGCTGAAAAGCTTAACGCAATATTTCTTTAACCCTAGCTAAATTTATAGTGCGCGATGGGCAATGACGACAGTTTGTACAGCATTTTATTTTTCGCGCCGTAATGACTTCTGATCATCTCTTTAATGCTCCATAGGACCATAGAACCATTCTTCCTAATTTTCTAAATATTTTATAGAAAGATATTATTTTACACATAAATTCTTTATTTTACCTTTTTAAAACTTTTTTAAAGAGAAAGTAAGTAGCATTAATTCAAATCCGAAATAAGAACATCAAGAAGAAAAGGAGGAGATTAGAAAATCACTCCAAGCAACTTAATCTATAAATGACTCCCTAACTGATAAGTGGGTAGCTTGATTCGCAGATCACCGACAAGTGAAAAAGATAAATGATAGAAGCAACTAATTGTACATCATGAATAATAAAATTTAAAGAAGAAAGCCTAGAATTAGAACAAAGATTATGTATAACATTTGTTCCGATCTCAACCTTAGGTAAACATAGTTGATCATGTAACATGTCGTATTCACTACTTTTACTTAGAATTTATGTGGTATTTTCTCGTGATTCAAACATTCAGTACGACATGTGTCATTTCTTGAATGGTTTGATTTTTCTTTCAGGACTCCATTGTTATGGGAGTTTTTAGGAGTCAAGAATTCGTGAAGAATCCCATGTTCATCGCAATATTGACTGAAGCGAGAATTTTTTAGGTCTCTTCCATGATCACTTCTTAACTGAATGATTTTTTTCAAATTTTTTTTCTTTTTTAATTTGAACATTACTTACAAGTCGTTTGAAAGATTTGAATATATTTAATTTCTCCCTTAAGAAATCAACCCATATATATCGAGAAAAATCATCTACAATAACAAAGGCATACCTCTTCCCTCCTATGCTTTCAGTGTGAGTTGGTCCAAATATATCCATGTGATTTTAATGTTCGTTTGGTGTGAATTTTCGGTGTACTTTTGTGAGTTTTCCTAATTTGTTTATTTTCTAGACAAGCTCTTCAGATTTGTTTTTCATATACTTTTATAAATGGAATTCCTCTATACCCTTCCCTTTTTTTTAATGACTTTCTTCATATCATGGAAGTTTATGTATCTCATCCGTTGATGTCATAGTTGTATTCATCAATGATGATTTTGTTGCATGTTAAGCGAGTGGTTCTAACATAACATTTATTAGTGGATCTTTTGCCTTTCATGACACACTACTAGTTTTGATTGTATACGTTGCAGTTTTCCCTTAGTCCCTTGAGAATGTTACCCGTAGATTGTCATCACAAAGCTGGCTACCTATGTAAATGAAAGAGTGGAGAATGAATTGAGTTTTCTCTACGATCTCTTATCCTTTTTCTAGAGTTTGGTTGCCACTCAAAGCATATATTCAAATAGTTTTGATGCATTCATAATAATTAAGTAAAAAAATTAAAACTTAAAAATTTTAATCCAAAAATACTTAAATGTTCATAAATTCTCAATGGTAACCAAAATGTAAAATATAATATCTGTTGGGCGTCGACCAGGCTGGCCGAGTTCAGCCCCTGCTCGATTCAAGACGTGACGAACACCTTCTCAATTTGCATCAGCTTTAAGAAAACAAAAACCCCTTTGATGTTGATCTCTCCAAAGCGGAGTTTTGGGTGAAAGTTCATAAAATACCTAAAAGATTAATAAATCTCAAAATGGCGGAATTCATAGGATCCCAACTGGGGGATTTTTTCAAGGTTGATCTGTCAAACTATGACGGAACATGGATCGCGTTCATAAGGTTAAGAGTCGGTATAGATACTTCAAAGCCTCTTTGTCAAAGGATCAAGATAAAGAATGCTACGGGGGAGGTCCTAACACTGGAGTGTAAGTACGAGAGACTTCCCACATTTTAATTCTTCTGTGGATTAATCGGACATAATGAGGGGTTTTGCATCAAATAGTTTGAATCTAATGAAGTTGAGTCGACTAGACCGTATGGGCCAGAACTTAGAGTAGTGAGTAGGCGGCAACACTCACAAGCAAACAGGTGGCTTCTTTCTCAACGACCATAACGAAGCACCATGCCGGAGAGCAAGTCGACCACCACCGTCAACCCAAACCACCAACAGTCGGAAACCCTAGGTACAAGGTACCCAGTGGACAAAAGGAATATGTGCATGGTCTTTATCCGCCAGTTAATGCTCAGACTGGTGACATGCAAACATAGATGGCAGTGGCTAGCCATGAAAAGAATCGTGCATTCAATTCAGTTTCAATCACAGTTGGAGCTAGTGTTCAAAGTCAACCTAATGCTTTTGGGTCGAGTCAGTTGTCCTTTAATCAATATGTTAACCTTTGCCCTTTGGAGGCTCCCCCTCTGGTGCTTTGGTTAATTATGACCCAAAACTCCAGCCCATCATGAAAGGCCCATTGATATTTGGGCATCAAAACGGAACTCCAATCGTTATATTGTTCACCAAGGCGCACAATGCATTGTGCGCCTCACCCTGCCCAAAACGATGTCGTTTTGTTAAGTTCTATGGGGAGTTGACGCGACAGAGTGTACGTGTATTCTGCTATACAATTATGTACATTCGAAACAATGGATTTTTTTTAAGAGTTAGGAGTTTATGTGTATTATGTTAAGAGTTTATATGTATTATGCATTATTATATGAAAAGGAAAAGTCAAGGGAAAAATGGTTTAGCAGCTCTCAAACTGGATATTAGCAATGCTTATGACAGATTATATGGTCACTGCTGCGCAACATTATGATCAAAATAGGTTTTGATGCTAAGTGGATTAATCTAATTATGGAGTGTGTAACTTCAGTGAGTTATTTTGTGTTGAATAAGGGGCAGGAAATAGGACCTATCCTACCACAACGGGGATTAAGGTAGGGAGATCCAATCTCTCCATATTTGTTCATTTTGGTGGCCAAAAGATTCAGTGCTATGATCAGGGATTATGAGAGAAGGGGCAGCATCCATAGGTTTACAATGGCAAGAAATGCACCATCTATCAACCAATTATTCTTTACCGATGATAGTTTTATCTTCTTCAAGGCCATAGCGGAGGAAGCAATTAATTTGAATCTTCTCCTTAAAGACTATGAGAAGGCATCAAGTCAATGAATAAATCTGACCAAATCCACTTTGGCGTTTAGCATAAACACCCCTGAATCTGTGAGAGACCGGCTAAGCGATATTCTGGCATTCAATACAGCAGCAACAATGGCAACTATCTGGGGCTCTCTATGATGATCGGTAGGAACAGTACATAAATTCTCAACTTCATCAAACATCGCATTGTCAATCATATTCATGGGTGGAACCACAGATTCATTTCTAAAGCGGGAAGAGAGATACTCTTGAAAACAGTCCTCCAAGCCCTCCCAACTTATGCCATGGGGATCTTCCTTTTGCCTAAGGGTCTAATTAAAGCAGTTGAGTCTACCATGAACTCTTTATTGGTGGAAAGTGGGTGGTAGTAACACCAACGGTATCGTTTGGACAAAATGGAAATTTTTGTGTAAGCCTAAGAAATAGGGAGGACTCGACTTCCAGGATCTTTATGGTTTCAATCTAGCTCTCCTTGGCAAACAAACTTGGAGACTAACCAATGATCCCAACTCCTTGATCTCTAAAGTTTTCTAAGCAAGATACTATCATAATTCTTCCTTTCTTGAAGATAAGTTAGGTGTCAATCCGTCATTTATTTGGAGTAGTTTGATGGCTACACAAGACATCATACGTAAACGCTCAAAATGGAGGATATGAAATGGTATGCAAACTCGCATTTGGGGAGATAATTGGCTACCAGACAACATGTAACAACCAAAAATTTCATTTTATAAATCCTGTATTAAGAAATCCAAAAATAGCCTTTTTCACTCTATTAAATTTTTTTGCGATCAATCGGTGTTTGAATAAAATATTTTCGTCACATTTTAAATTAATTCGACACCAAAAATGGATTCTATTTGAAAATTCCTAAGCTTTCGGGTACTTCGCGAACCAAGTTTTAAATCGAGAAATTTATCAGAGTGAGACCGGGAGAATTCAAAAAAATTTTAAGCAAGTGTTCATCCAAATAGCTTTTTGAGAAAATTCACTTTCAACCCCAAAGTATTTAAAGCAGGGTTGCAAAAATACCGCCTAGGCACCGAGTAATCGGCGCCTAGGCGCTAGGCGCCTCTAGGTCGTGGCGATTCCCCCCCAGGCTCCCGCCTAGTGCCTAACTCGGCCGATTACGCCGAGTTAACTCATCAATTTCTGTTGAGTTAGCCGAGTTAACCCGGCCGACTCGACCTTACTAATTTTTTTCATTTATATGACATATATGTGTGTGTGTGTGTGTGTGTGTAATATGACATATATGCACCTACACACTTGCACTGTTTTTCATTTTTTCAGTTAGCCGCCTAGGCGACCGCCTAGGCCGCTTAAGCCCCGCCTAGGCCGTCTAGGCGCTAGGCGCTACTCTACCGCCCGACTAGCGCCTAGCGCCTATTGCAACCATGATTTAAAATTAGCATTTCTAGCCTTGGTTCAAGATACAAGGTGAACCATTCCACTCCAAGAAACTTTGTTGAGAAACACTTTGTATGCAAGCTTTTACCATTTTGCCCTCAACCAACCATTGGCCTTCTACCTAGGGTTTTGGACCCTATATAAACTCCATTATTCCATCTTGATTCCCGATCTCTTTCTTTGCCTCTCCACACAAATTGTCTTCCAAGACAAAGGGAGAAAACAACATCACAGTAAGCTCATTTCCCTCTTCAATCCTAGCCTACATTTCTCTTCTAGTTCCTTTTAATCTTTGAGGTTCTATGCTAAGGTTGTATGGTGTTTGGGAAGTATAGGTGGTGAAGGAGGTTCAAGTTAGATAGAGAGGAAGAAGAGATCCAAGCTAGAAGAAAGTCTACAAGAGATATAACCCCATGGATTCCTCTTTAAAATTGGCTCTGTGAAGCCTTAGTTTTGAGTAGAAACTATGAGTTTTTGATGTGTTCATGCTTAGAAGTGATTTAGTATTTGTTTTTGAGTTGTTGAGATTGTTTTGGACTTGTTTGGATTGGATTTTGCAGATGAAAA